GGTTCCACAGCGAATTTCGCAGCCGCCCCTCGGTTTATAAATAGCACCATGGGTGTCCCCTCGGTTCCAAAATTGAAGGTCGTTTCATTTCGCTCTAATTAGCTGCATTTTGTTTCAGTGCATATCAACTAGAGATCACTGCTACTGGCTGCTGAAGCTGCTTGCTGGTATGCCTTTAATTGGGCTTGTGAGAGGTTTACACTATTCATAGCAGGTCACTGTTTTCAGGCGAAGGGACTTCCCCGCGAAAAACCGTCGTACTGGTAAACAAGCCTCGAGTAGCTCACTTTTTGACACTTATGCTGGTGTATCATCGTGTCAGTACCACATACATTACGAGGTAATTAAAAAACTCACATCTGAGAGATAGAGGAAGGCGTCTAATTGTAAAACGTTCTGGGCTTGTTCATAAGCTCTGTCAGCACCCAAACTTTGCGTTGGTTGGTGGGAGCGACGATTCTGTAACATTACGTTGGAAACTCGCGTTGCCTCCCCATGTGTCGCTGGTCTAATGTTAGGGGTTACCGGGTGCAAAGGCACAGCTTACGATAAGAATTGTTTCTAAGATTTCGACACATCTCTCTAACGCATGGTGCCTATAAGCCAATGCCAAGTCTGAATGCGTTCACTATTCTAATCTGAAATGATCTTAGTGCGAAGCTCTTTATCAATTCCAAGCTGTGATCGTTTGGAGTATTGCAATCCTTGTCATATTTTAAATGGTCTAATCTTGTCGTATTTTAAATGGTTAATCGTGATACACTTTTAGAGAGGACAGTTTACTAGCTGCTGAAGAAGGGATTCGGCAATGGCGTATGGAAGAGTGTCGTGTCGTTGTTGCTGATTATGATTCTCTAAAGGATCTGGACTACGGATATGTGGAAACGGTATGTATTCAGGAGGGCGCTTCTTCACGACTTAATCATTTTGGATTGAAATCAGGATAAATGGAGATCTTTGTATAACGTGAGACGAGAAGTGTTGGAATCAGTACTTCGTCCTTGTAACGGAAATAGGTAACCCATAGTCCGAAGTGTCGGGCCCAAGCCCCTTCGAAGGGCTGGAAAAACAAGATCAAAAACCAAACAACCAGGGGCTGGTGCAAATGTTTTTTGATCTTGTTTCTCTTTGTTTTCAGCCATTCGAATGGTCTTGGGCGCGGAGCGGCCGCGTCGACCGACCCTCTGCCTCACTCCTCCCAACCTCCCCCTTCTCCACTTGCACTGCCTCTGCTGGCACGCCGGCACGCCGGCAGACTATGAAAGCAGCCATAGCGCTCTGCAAGGTTTATGGCCTAGGGTCAGATCGCCTATCATGAACTCTTTTGTCCACCATTTTCCGATTTGGTGAAAATGCGTTGCTAGACGTGCCTAGGAAAACGTAGTACCATCCTTAGCATGGGTTTCCTCCAGTTTTTCCTGGTTATATGGAATGTCATCTCATATGCACACTTCTTCCAAAACGACGATTGAGAGGCATACAGCACGATTGTAGCCTTGGGGTGTACTGTTCTCTCTGACTGCTTTCAGACCTCAACGATTCATCCGTCCGTCCGTCCGTCCGTTCAGCGCGTGCCGCGACGGCGGCGCCTGACCGTTGTCGACACACTGAATCACTTGCCAGCGCTGTCAACACTACTCTAGCGACCGCCGTCGCAGCACGCGCTGAACGGACG